GACCGGTCTGTAGTTACCCGGGTCCTCCTTAATAACCATATTAAATATCTGATGGATGCAATCACAGCAGCTTTCTGCGTACGGCCTTGTCATTAAACTTTTCTTTGTTCCTGTTTGCAATTCTGACAGCAAATAAAAGGTAATATTACAGTGCTGTTTTAAGAAGAGAAATGCAATCTTTTTAGAAGTTGAAACTTTGCAAAATACTTACTAATAGGTTTTAGATAAACATGTACTAATAGGTGTTAGAAATAAATGGATGATATCCAGACTCTTCATCTGTACTGCTGACTCTGTTACACAGCATCTTTATTTCTAAGACTGTAGTAGTTAAGTATATTGTAAAGCCCCATTATTTTTTCTGTAAAATAAATGTATAATACAAATTCCACAGAAGTGTGATAGCAGAGCTGCGTTTAAAATGAGTTTGAGCAATGCAGAAGTTGGGATTTCAATAGCTGTGCTTATACATTTGTGCAGTATGATCATTGGATGGTTAAAACCTAAGCTTGTCGTGGCTTGTAATGTAGATCAGTTCTGCTACTGGGGTTTCTAGTTTTCATAAGAACAATTGGCAAATATGAGCACCTTAATAATGGGGGGATCTTGTTTAGCAGTAATACTCATTACCTACCTTTATTTTGGAATGCTTTTTAATTCCATCCTTTAGCATCAGTTCTCTCTTCACAGATACAGAGATTTCAAAATGACAAATGCCTAAGACTTACCCTCAATTCAGATCAGCCTCAGCTTGTGCTCAGCAAACTGTGAAAACTTGGCGTGTTGGGGTTTGGTTTACAATATTAATTTTTACCCCTTCGTTAAGTATATTTTTCTGGAATGCTGAACTCAGTGATGCATTTGGTTTTTGACAAGCAGCTTTTACTGGATGAATGACTAGCAGTAACAGCGTGCTAGCCTGATAGCTGGGAAGATACTAATATGTGTCCATGAAAATTACATAAACCATTTCTGATGTATGTGTACTGTAAGTTCATAACATTGCTGTTCTTGCACAAACTTTAAAAGGCAACTGGATGGCATATACAAGGTGTAAATAACATGTGCTGTAAGAAAATGTCATACCATTTAGATACTATTTGTATATGTAAATATAGAAAATCCATATAAGTTGAGAGGAGCAACAGTATTTCTTTAAAATTAATAGTGGCTGTGGCCCAAAAATGACTGTTTTGCAGCTGTCTGTAAAAACTACTTACAGTTAACTGCTGGATTTTTTTTCCTTAATGGAACTATTGCCAGGTTGGTGCTCACTTTTTGGAAGCTGTTGTGAAGAAATTTGATGAAGTCTGTAGAAGTGATGCTGAAGGGAAAGAATGTGAAAATCTGCTTGCCTTGATTGCTCATCTGTACAACTTCCATGTGGTTCATTCCCTGCTGATCTTTGATATTCTGAAAAAGCTTGTTAGCATTTTCACTGAAAAAGAGATCGAGTTGATTTTGTTTCTTCTGAAAAACGTGGGCTTTTCCTTAAGAAAAGATGATGCGCTGGCTTTGAAGGAGCTGATCACTGAAGCCCAGAGGAAAGCAAACACAGCAGAGAAGAAACTCCAGGATCAGACAAGGGTACGTGTGTGTGTGTGTGTGTGTGTGTGTGTGTGTGTGTGTGTGTGTGTATGTGTGTGTGTGAAAGATTTTTCTGTTCTCAGTAGACTTCAATAAACACTTGGATACTTGTGTTAATTTACCAAAATGTTTTCTGCTATACTCTATTTAGATTCCAAGTTGCCATTACTGTTCAGTTGTTGCATTTAGTTATTTGCATTCTTCTTGTCAGTCTTTCTCTGGTAGTTCTTAGGACACAGACACTAAAGTGCTTGTAATGGGTGAGACTGGGACTGGTTTGTGTCTTTGTGCAGTGGACGGTGCTTCTGTTTCGTGATACTTTGCACAGTTCAAAAAATGGTCACTGACCATTTGAATTGAAGTTTTAACACAAATGAATATAATAGGAGTTAAAGTAAAACATCCTTCTCTGTATTTGTATTCGTGTAATCTAAATTTCGCTGTCCATTGCCAGCTTAGCTACTTATTCTCACAGAATGGTAATTTCAAAGTGTGCTATGTACTTTACTTAATAAACTTACAGCACATAACCCACAGAAATATTTCTTTTTCCAATAGGTTCGTTTTATGCTAGAGACTATGTTGGCATTAAGAAATAATGACATGCGTAAGATTCCCGGTTATGATCCTGAACCAGTTGAAAAACTCCGCAAATTGCAAAGAACACTGGTGAGAACTTCATTGACACGTGTAGTATAGCTATTCCTAAACCAGAACTCAGTATTTATGTTGTATGCCGACTGTAGATGGCCTGTAGAATTTTTTAATTTGTTTAGCAGTTTGAAATTCTTGTGGACAAAAATAACTTCTTAGATCGTTAAGTACTATCTGCTGTGTCCAAGTTTAGTCAGCAGTCAACCAGCCTTCTGCAGAACAGTTTGAGAAAGGACCTAATACTTAGCCAAAGAATTTGAGACAAAAAATCTATACTTAGAAAAAGAGACTGTGGGATGTTTTAATGATTGTACAGAAGAAATGAGTCATTATGACAAGTTCTTTTTTCCATAGACTTTAAATGCAGGCGCTCGCTCCTAACTTTACCTGAATTATTTTAGAAGTCTTAACACTTCTGAAAACCTGGATTTTTTTTTCTGTTTTGCTTTGTTTTGGTTTTTTATTTATGGTGGGGAGAGGGCAGTTTGTCTAGAACAACACAGTATGAAATGCCTGAAAGTAATTGTCTCTTGGGATTGAGACCTACTTCATTTTCACTACTGTTTTTTCAATGTCAGCATCAAGTCTGAATTCTAATAAATTTTTATGATTGGAAGATATCTGCTTTTCAATTTATTAACTCTTATTTAAAATTTTTAAAATTCAAGAGCTGCTAAATGGGGGTTTAAGCAACTTCTTGTATCTGAGTAAATAATTTGAGAAACTTGAAAGGTCTTTTCAGATTGCTGACTGAAACTAAAGGTTGGAGGAGGTGCAACATGTGAAGACATTTATGGAAATTAAGTTACTTGTTTAAAAGTAATTTTAAGTAATTAAAGTATTTTTTGATGGTTTTTGTTATTTGTGGGATTTTTTTTTTTAAAGCTTCCAATAAAATCTTCTGGATATTTTGTATTTTGTTGTTCAAGGTTCACAGCAGTGGTTCTGGGAAAGACACTCAGCTCCGTGTCTCCCTGGAATCTCTCCTCAGTGCTGATCAGGTTGGTCGCTGGTGGATCGTAGGGTCGTCCTGGAGTGGAGCACCAATGATCAATGATACAAACAGCAAGACTCAGCCAAAACTGCATATAGGAAAGGTAAATCCAAGCAGTGCTAGCTCTGAGTCTAAGTGTTTGTGCTCATTTGAATATTCTTCATGCAGGTGAATAAGTTCATTTCAGAGCCCACCAAAAAAAACCTTTGCAGGCTCTTGTAAGACTAAGCTTTGGGACCACAAATTCTGCTCTTAGGTTTTTCAAAATGTTGTAGTCCTGCGCTTCTTAAGAGCTGTTACTGCAAATACTGTGGTATAGCTTGTGTTTTCTTATCCCGTGGAATTGCAAAAGTAACTTGTTATGTAAGTGGAAGAAGAGACTTGGTTTAAAAGTGGATTTGCTAGTATGAATTCTGACAGGTGGTATTGTCTGTGGGTGGCATATATCTAAGCTGATTCTCAAAGCAGCGCAGTGAGATGGTCACAGTGACTTACATTAGAGAAGCACATCTTAAAAATAATTGTCGCAATTAAAATACATTGAAATATATTTCTCTAATTAAAAGCTCCTGATAATGTCTGTGCCTCTGGACAAAAGCTCAGGATCATTGGATTGATGCTTCATAGGTTACTGGAGATCTTCATTTATGATGTTTTTAGAAGGCTGCACAGAATAGCTTTCTTAAAGCAAACATGAATTAAATACCATTTCATTTTTTTTCAGGTGAGTTCAAAGATAATGGAGCTTGCTCGTAAGCTGAGAATGAACACTGATATCAGGAGAAGTATTTTTTGTGTCTTGATGACAAGTGAAGACTTCCTGGATGCCTTTGAAAAGCTTCTCAAGTAAGTATAGACTAACACAGAAGACAGCCCAGGACCAAAAATAGCATTAGCTGAGTTGAAAAAATAACAGTGCTGGTCTAGGCCTAAGAGTATTGACAACACAAAGAGTTGCATAGCTAGGGATCTACGGGAGGGTAAGAGCTTAGAAGAGGGACAAAACCCTGGTGTAAGGACTAGTAGGGTCAGGCAGGACTGATTGGCAGTCAGAGGAAAGGAGTAGCCCCTGTTACTGTGACTCACGTCTATAACTGTGATTTACAGAATCTTTTGCCTTAAGAAGCCTGTATCTTTTTGCATTGAGGACATCTATCCTGGTCTAGCAGATGGAAGTCTGTTGCAGGCTTGCGTCCTTACAGAGGCAGCCCCGAAGCCCCTTCAGAACATCTCTTGGTTTTGGCACTGGTTTTCCATTCTGCTGACAATTCCTTTACTTCTTGCCACCTTGTTAAGCCATCTTGTAGGTCTCTGGCCGTACTTGTATGACCAAGTTGTGCTCTAGCACCTCCACATCCCTCTTGCAGAATTTACTAGTTTTGGATTTGCTCCAGGGTCACATTTCATGTTTAGAACGGTTTCCTTACCACTCGGCAAACAGCTATTTAGAAAAAGATGTGATCAGGGAAAAGCTCTAACTAAGCTGTTCTTTGTGTTTGTCAGAATATTAATCGTAAGTCTGTAGTAACTGGGAGGGGAGAGATCAGATCTGAACTTTTCTGTTGCAGCCTTGTAATTCAAGGGAATTGTCTTACCAGGATGGCATGCAATTACTTAATTTGCTAACCAAACCAAAACAGACTTTGTAATAAAGTCAACTAATATTTGATTAAAAGCCACTTCTGCAAAACACAGCTTGGATTAAAGACTGTGATGGAGTCATTCCAATATCTTAATATGGCCTGTTCAATTAAAAGAAATTAGCTGCTGCTGCTGCAGTTCTTGCCAAGACCTGGTAGTTCAATTTGCAAATTGATCCTTGACTCTCATCCGTGCTACTTAAACTAGTATACAAATCTGTGTACAAGCAGGCTTGGCAGAAAAACTGTCCGCAGATTGCCTGGTGTCTGTTGATGCTGATTTTTATACAGCAAACTCAGAGGAATTCTTGAATCTGCTCACATCTGGCAGAGTATAATGGAAAGTACACAGAATTTTCAGTGAAGAAGTTAACTTCAATGTGAACATGCGTTCAAAGGTGTGTGGGAATTTATATCCATGTGTCTGATGTCAGTCTCATGAGGAAGAGCCTGAGAAACGCATAAGGAAGTATTTTAACTGCTCTTGATGATTCATCTGCTGCTAGATCTCTGTCGGAGTTGAGGTGTGGTTAAATGGTAATAACCATTTAAAATCCATGCTGCTGTAGTTCTGCTTGTATTTCTCCTCCCTACTTGAAAAGCAGGCAGTTAGTTTGAAGCCAGAACAGCTCCCTGAAGTGGCTCAGTTTATAACTGCAGAAGTGTCAATGCAAAGGGAGGGCTGGGAGCGTTGCTGGAGACAAAGAGAGTGAGTCTTGATCCATTTCATCAGCTGAAAGGCTGCACCTCCTTCACAAACCAGACTCACACGTGACGGGGGGATGAATGCTGCTTGAGTTTGAGGAAGAGGCAATTTTTGAAGCTATTCCATAGAGGTTAAGAATTTGAGAAACCGTACATCTTGCAAAAAAAAGTTGAAACTTGTAAAAGCCTTATATATCCTCTTGTAGTGTGGTATGTAATTCAGGATGGTATGTGACTGTATCAACTAAAATAATTTGAACTGACTTTTAAGAGGTGGGTTTGAGTATTGCTATTTTTGATCTAAAGGCTAGGATAGTCTTGGGCTTCAGCTGATGATAACTAACCTACTTAGAGGCAGGCTTCTGCTGTTAAGTATCTACTTCAGAGGCAGTTATCCCATATACAGGGGGAAATTCTTTAAGTGATCAAGACATACGAGTCCATGGGAATGTTTTAACTCATGAATGATTTAATAGGTGAGGTGGTTGCATATATTTTGTCTTAAGATTGTTAGGCTTATGAAACCTGTATAGGTTTATGGTGAAGCTCAGCAGTGAAAAGCAGTCCTGACTCTTAAATTTAGATGTTTAGGGATGCTAGGTCTGAAAAGAGAAAATACTGCAAGATCTGTTAAGAGGTGAAGGTAAGAAAAAATTGAACATCCAAGTGATGATTTACTCAGTTACATCCATCTGGCAACATGAATATTTCCTAAATAAGCAAGTCGTGATAGAAGTGATGATGGAAAGGAAAAGCAGAGTGTGCCAAATTAGTGACTGCAGTGTAACTTCACAAGTCATCTATTAAATGCTTGTCTGATGGCTGAAAACCTGTGTATTTAAAAAAAAAATCCAACAAAAACACAAACAAAAAAAACCAACAACAACAAAACCCACCAAAACCAAAACCCGACACTTTAGTTGCTCTGTAATAAAATCTGATAGAACTTGGCTGATGGGAGAGCAAGCAGATTATATCACAGACACAAACTTACAGTGCTGGTCTCTTTTGTAGAACCAGACTTCTAAGTTTTCACTGCTCATTAGCAGTCAGCCTAGAAATCATCCCAGATTTTCCTATTGTAAAACCTTAAATTCTCTGGGTTTTTGGCTGAAAGATAAAATATCTGTTAATCTGGTCTGTATCTATGATCAAATGCAATGGCAAATGTCTGGAGGTGTATTCAAAGGAGAGATGTAAGAATTAAGCAATGACAAACTACTCTGTAGTCGGCAGAGCAAGTCCCAGTTGAGTCAGGTTTAGAAAGGACACTTGAGTTGTATTAATGCTACATGAAACTTGAGCTTGAAGCAATGAAAGGAATTTTGTTTGACATTTTTCAGATTATAATATGAAGCATTTTTCATTTTAATTGTTTTTAATGCTGCCAAGCATTTGACAGTTCTGGAAGCTAAATCATATTATTTGCAGTGCAGGTACATTGCGAGTTGGTTACCATTCCCTGCCAAAGTGGCTCAGCCCTCTTTTTAGACTGGTCAGCTCTTCCAGTGGGAAGGCTGTTCAGTCCTTGGACTTCATGCTGAGGCAGCCATCATAAGTACACATTGATACTGACTGTTTTCTTCAGGCTGCCTTTTTTTCTTTTTCTTTTTTTGGAAGGTGGTTTGAAATCTCTGACTGCATCCTCTTAGGCTGCTATCAAACAGTAATGAATTTCAAGTATTATGCAGCATGGAGTTAACCTAGAGATTAACAGATTCATATCACCAAATAGGAAAAACATCTTAAAATATTTTCTTATCCCTACTAAGTACCACAGAAGGGAAGGACCATGGACATGTTCCTCTAAAGAGGCTTGTACTGATCCAAAGGCCCCTATGACCATAGGTACAAGTGTGAGATAAGCACAACAGGGTCCTATAGTTCTTATTTCACCGTTTAACCTTTGTATTGGTACACCATGCAGCAGCACTTGCTACAATACTTCTGCTGCTTTCCAAGGCAAAACAGTCCATGATGACAGGGCCATCTCCTCTGCTTTTCTTCACGGAGAGCTACAAACGTGGAGTGTGCTGCCCTTCCTTCCCCAGGGGGGATTTTATTTGTATCGTTCCACTTCTCCATTGAGGTCCTGCTTTTGCAGCCACTCCTGTAACACTGATCATAGTGCAGTGTTTCCATATTGCCACACCAGAACACTGATTCAGCCACAGTCTTAAGGGTTTGAGTCCATTCAGAGTTTTAAAGACTTTGTAAGAACTTTGTAACAGGTAAAATTTAATGTGCTGTTAGGAGTTGATTTTCTTAAGAATTACTCTTGAATGTTGGCTGTAGCTCTTAATTTTTTCCTTACTAAACAATTCTCATTCTTTTGCTAAATTTTAGGCTTGGACTGAAAGGTCAGCAGGAGAGAGAAATTGTCCATGTTGTCCTGTACTGCTGCTTACAGGAGAAGATGTATAACCCCTTCTATGCATTTTTGGCTAACAAGTTTTGTGAATGCGAAAGACGATTTCAGGTGAAGAAAAATCTGTTTCTCCTTTATTTTAGTGTCATTACTGCTGTTAGGAAGACAGATATAAAATACTTGAGAATGGATGCATGCCTGTTAAAAACTTGGTCTGAAGAAACATTCTGCTGGTATAGCTATGCCCTCAGTAAAGCATACTCATGGTCAGATCCGATTAGAAAATAAAATACTGCGGAAGGTTTCCTTTCCTCTGTTTTACACGTGTAGAAAAAAATGAACAGTCTGATCAAGCATCTCTGCTAATTAACAGAGGGCTCATAAAGAACAGAAGGTCAAAAGGTTTTGTGATGTTGTTACTCATTTAAACAGTTACTTGATTTGTAGGATAATTTTTTTTCCTTTGACACCTAGGTGACGTTTCGGTTTAGTATTTGGGACAAAATCAGAGACTTGGAGAACCTATCAGCCACTGCCGTCTCCAACTTGATTTCACTGTTGGTTCACTTACTAAGGACAAAATCATTGCCACTTTCAGTTCTCAAGGTTGGTGTGTTTTCTTTTCAAAATACTTCCGTGTCTTCCTTGCATTTGCTAGCTCAACATAAAATGTAGTTTTTCTGTTACCTAGCTGGTACTTTAGCTATTTGTGGTTATGAGCTAAGATAAAACTTGTTCTAAAACTACCAAATTAATCCCACTGATTAGAGTACTGCTATCATTTAGGGAAAAGGGAACCTATGGTGACCCAGGCATACAGAAGGTCTACAGTTCTGTGTCTAAAGCAGTTGTGAGATTATTTTCTGTAGAGTATCCAGAGTTGGAAATGAGACCCCTTCATTAGCAGGCTTTGTCGACAGATTCTGTGCTGTGCTTTTTAACTGGTGTTGGTTTTTATTAGACCAGAAAGAAATCACCTGAGTACTTGTATTTCAGAGTGGGGAGTCCATAGAATTTTATTAAAAGAATAATTGAAAAGTGTTAAACAGGCAAATATGTGGATTGTCTTAGGTACTTCTGAAGTATTTATCTGATTTGAGAAATGATATCAGGTATTCTGGTACCACTAGACAAGTTATTCCTTAGAAGCTTCCCTGCTTTCCTTATTGATTGGCTTTTGGAAGCAGTGTTCTCAGCTAATCCTTTTGTGCCAAACTTAAGACTTGGTATATATGGGAGACCGGTTAATGTGCTAGAACCTGTTCATTTAGAAGAGAATTCAGCTGTTTGAAATACTAAAATTAATCAAACTCTCCCTCTCTCTCTGCTGAATTCAGGTAATTGAATTCAGTGAACTTGATAAACCCAAAGTCCGTTTCTTGCAACAAGTATTAAGCATGCTGTTAATCAAAACAGATGATGAAGAACTTAATGACATTTTTGCGAGGTAAGTGATCAGACAGATCTAAAGTAAGTAGTAATTACGAAGATAAGAGGTTTGCTTATTTTGTGTGGAATTCTTGGCCTTTTCAACCATCCATCCTGTGGAAAGTAAGCTCACCTGGGTGAGTGGGAGGAAGTGTGTTGTTTGTGTGTTGGTGCAGACTCTCACACAGATTCAGGTGTGAGAAGTGTTATACAAAATAAGGTGGTCAGATATTCAGTGTATCATTTTGGTCACAGGATTTTCATGAGCAGGGCTCTATAACTACATGCTTTCCTTATTGCTTTACCCAAATGTGGGCAGTGGGATTCACTCTCCCAGCAACCTTTGCTAGAAGGTATCTTTAGTGTAAGAAGGAAGAATAAAGAAATAGTAATGAGGAAGAAGCTTGGGGTTTTTTTTGGTTTGTTGGTGTGTTTTGTTTTGGTTTTTTTAAAATCAACATTATTTTTGTATATGGGACAGAGTTACCCTGGAGAGGCTCGGAAGTCTCCATCCTTGGAGATGTTTAGGACTTGAGTGGATAAAACTGAGCAACCTGACTGCAACTGGATGTTAGTCTGGCTTTAAACAGGAGGTTGGACAAGATGACCTTCCAGCATCCTTTCTGACTTAAATTATTCTGAGATTCCATTTTTTTGTTGTATTAAACTTGCAATGTTACGTAAAGTTAGAAAAATTAGGTGATTCAACCTAATGTTTCAACCATTAACACTGCAACACAAGGAAGTTCAAACATGGTGTTTGCCTTGTTTGTTGCTGTAATGTAATTGTTTCCATAAAGCAAATATAAGGCTCCAATATCCCATTTTATTGTTGAGGATCAACTGTATGATGAGTGTGTTTGGGCTTCTTGCCAAACCAGTGTAGATTTGCTGGTAATTTGAAAGCCTCTTCAGAAAAGCTTTTATAGGTTGGATTTTTTTCTACGTTTCTGTTTGAAGAAGATAAAGGAAAAAAAATTAAGAAACTTCTGAAGCAGCAAAAGACTAAATACTGTTTTTGATCTGTATCTTTACAGGGTATCTGACAACCCCAAACTGGGAATGCTACGGGAAAGCTTGAAACTCTTCCTTAACCACTTCCTACTGAAAAATGTACAAGCCCAAAGAAGTGCTGAAGAAGCCAGCTTATTAAAAGAGAGAGTTGAGCTAGCAACCAAGGCTTTGCAAGCAAAAGAATCCAAATTGAAGTTATAGTTCTGTTTTCTAATAGAACATATGGAAAAACTAGGTCTGCATGAAGATGCAAAACTTTGTTAGTCTTTCAGGCGCAAATAATTGAGAATGAGGAGAGCAATGTGACTCTAAAGGACCCGGTTTTTGACGTAAACACTTACTTTGCTGTACACGCTAGTTACAGGTTTGACTGAAGGTGATTGAAGGCCTTCCTGAAGAAGGGAAAATTATTTTTGTCACCTCCCTTTTTAGTAAAAGTGCTTCGTGTTGATGGTTACTATCTGCAGAAGTTGTTGAATTTCTCTTCTGTGATACTCCCAGTCAGCAGTATTGTTCTGCATTGCATATTGTAACATTTAATTTACAATAATTGCAGAGTACTGACTGCTGTGTGTTAAAGAATTGGCCTTAACCAAAGGCCTTTAATAACTAATCGTTGTACTTGCCTGAAGAAACAGGCCACTAGATGGCAAAAGTACTGGTGAGACAGTTTTGGAAGAAATCAACCTTTTTCTTAGTGTTGAATTTATCTGCTAATTCTGTGAATTATTTACCTGACTGTGGGTCAGGAAAAGATCTTTGGTTGGATTCAGAGCTGTAGTAAAACAACTTGAAGATCTGACTTTGCCCAATTTTGTTGGGTTTAGAGATTGCAGCATAGTTTTATTGCTCTTTTAACCTGTTTTTCCTCAGCTTTAAAATTGGAGTTGCATAGTCACTTATGTTAATCAGATTTTTCTAGGCATAAAGAATAATACCAGTATCAGTCTTTTAATAAGAGAATACCTTCCTTAAAAATTTGCTTGCATTTTCCATTCAGATGTTTAAAAAACAAAACAAAACAAAACAACCAAACCATGTACATCTTCCTACAACACTCAGTGTTGAGTGGTTTGTTTCTTTTGTCACCTTACCACTACACATTAAACTGCGACTTTTCTGAAGGCTTTGCTGTTTGTATTAGCTTTACTTTAGCTGGCTTGGTGGAAAGGGAATGACCTTAAATTGGAGGGGGGAAGCACTTTCTCATCTGCAGTATGCACTGCGTCTAAGTAATCTGCCTGTGCTGGAGCTGCCAGTCCTGTTTCTCTACCCAGGCTTGCCCTCTGGTGTGCAACAATCCACTCACTTATGGTGCCTCCTAATTGCATTTGATACCAAAAAAAAACCAGTTAAAATATTTCTAAAATTCATTCGATTAATGAATTAACGGAAGTATGGACAGCAGAAGAATTGACATGGTTATTATGGATACAAAAGTCACAGCTTTGCAGAGCGCATGTTAACAGCACCCTTGCAAACAATGATGCCAGACCTCGCATTTTAGTTTTGGAGTCTGGACTCAGGAGAAAATCTGCAGGCCCCTAGAAACTGGCTGCTGTGGAAACCATAGGACCTCAGTGAGTAAAAATTGCTCACCCTAGACTGCAGCAGTCACCTGTTGATTACCCTTTTTGTAGAAGTTTAGGTAGACCCAGCATTTCAACGTGTTTGTGGTTTAGTAACATAAATGGAAGCACATTGCTCTAGCTGGGAGGTTGAGACACCTTTCCTCTTCGAGATAAATCTTGAAACATCTTCCTTAAATTAAATGTGACAGCCTGACGGTTCCTTCCTCAAATGCTTTGCTTGGAGATCAGGACTGCCCACGCTTTGCTGCCTGTGGAAGGATTCCCTAGTGTTCTATGGGCTTGAGTCTATTCCCTTGCTGCAGCTGCCTGAGGCAGTGTGATGCAGGTGCTGCGATGCAATTTAGAGGAAATTATTTTAACCTTACAGTGTGAAATTACAATTGCCTTTTTTTTCTTTTGTAGAGTTACATTGGTTATTATTTATCCCAAACAGCTTGTAAGCTCTGCTCAAACTTACAATTACTAAAGCCATTGCTTTGTTTCTGAAGCGAACAGGTTTTACCTGCCTGCAGCTTTTACATTTGTCACATTCATGTATAAACATAATTTTAAAAAACCCTGAGTTTTCAAGGAAAGCAGCCAAAATACACTGCTAGTCTGCTGTGCCACAGTCACAGTACAAGGACAGTTACTGTGGGCATTTCAGAGTAAGTCCCATCCTCTCACTGTGATTCAGAGGGAGAATAATTGTCAAAACAGAGATTTGACAATTCTAGGATAAATGTGAATTCCTGAGTCTGGATCTTGTCACATTTAACGTTTTTTTCCATGGTCCTACTGGCCAAGCTGCCACAGCTTACAGAGGTGGAAAGCTGTCAGAGTGTGCTATTGAGATAGATAGATAGATAGATAGATAGATAGATAGATAGATATACACACACACCTGCAAGCTGTCACTTCTGTGGTCCACTTGCATCACAAGGATATAAGACACATGAGAAAAGGAAGCTGAGGTTATTTTATGTTTATTTAGATATGTATTTATACTAAAATATATATTAGGTATTTATATAATATATATTTCATAGATACTATAATGCTATAAGCTTTCTCTCTAATGGCAGCAGCTACAAACACTGGTGAGCGGCTTCCTGCAAACTGCATGCAAGCGCTGACCGCCAGCAGAGGCTGCTGGGGAAGTTACACGGAGCTTGGCCACATCTTGCTGTGTCTGCCACGGGATAAATGTTTAATAATGCACGCAAAATACAGCACATTGAGATTTCTTCCTATTATTAGTCTGTTAGCTGAAGTCAAACCTCCATCAGGAATTGTCCCTGATCGTTCCAAAAGAGAGATGGCACTGAAAATGTCCAAAATTCTTCTGCAAAGGAGGTTTGGGTAGGGGAGATGAGCAGAAAAGGGCTTTGAACTGGAAAAAATGCACTGGAAAACAGCTAAGTAATCCTTACACCTGGCAAAACAGTGAAAAATACAGCAGGATTTGCTTTAGGTGTATTTAACTAAAAGCCGGATGTTTGATTTTTTTAGCTATATAGCAGAAGATTTCGGTTCCTCCTTTAAACAGCACTATCCACTCATAGCTATTATTACAGTTTCAATTTTTGTTTTCTTTTAAAACTGGACAGTGATGTTTAAAACCTTCTCTGTTTTCTGTATCAAAATTAACAGGGCAATAAAGTCTGGTTTTTCACTTTGGCCAGAGTGTTACGCTGATAAATCATCCGCAAGTCCCTTTGGCAGGGTTTTAACACTGCACCTGAATGGGCCAAGTATCTGCAGGGCTTTTTTGAGTTGACGTTTTTCCATTGTCCCTCATGCTGGGGATGAGGGGTTGATATCAGTCGTGCTCCGAAAGCGCAGACGCAAGCAGCTCTGCCCTGCCTGGCGCTTGCGAAGGTGTGCAACCCAATACCGTGCTCAGAGCACATCTGGGATCGTTTGGTTCGCGTTGTTCTGTGGGTGAACTTTGCACATGAACAGTTGCAGCGCGGTGCCAAATGTGCACAACAGTGATTTCGGCTTAATAAATATGCAAGTGGTAACTCTAACACTCAGATTTTTGTTGCTTTGAGTGTAATAGCAGCTTAGTGCCTGACTGCATCCCATGTGTGCTAGAATCAATACGAGATTTTTTTCATGCAGTAGCTGAAGCACTTTTGTTTTCAGGAGACAATCTGATCCGTAGGGTTGCTTTTCCAAAGGCAGGGTGTAAATTTTACCCAAGATTTTTTGGACTGATTTCAGGAAATTGTAGGTAGAGATAAGACTCTTATACCATATGCCACTTTTTGTGATTTCATCTCCTGCAGGAGCTTTCCTTCGCCCTCCAGTAAAGCTTAGTTTACCGTGAGGCCCACAGGCATGGACATCACAGCTTCCTGCATAAAACAGCTGTGCTATCCTCAAATTCTGGGGCAACCTGCAGCCTTGCTTTAAAGCTAATTACAGTAGCCTTCCACTAATTGAAATGCATGCACAATTCAGAATCGGATATCATGTGGTTTCCCTAATAACGCTTTAAGGAAATGAAATGAGCATCTATCAAGAATAAGTTTAGGAAGAGCCAGCTGGCACCAAGTATTTCTTAAAACTTGTGTCCTAGGACAAAACAGTTCACACACCAAAATCAGCTCACTGTGTGCAAATAGAGAACTTCAAAGTGGAATGGAGGACTTTAAAAAATGGCAAAGTAATGTAACTGGAATGAGAGGTACACGGTAAGATTACAAATAGAGACCTTTTTTGAATAGTTCCTCTAAAGTCTTTTGTCAGTAACAGTGAAACGGTTGTTTCCTTTTCAAATGTGAAAGATTTCCAGGCATGACACAATTTTCATTAAAAACTCCATTATGGACCTTTTACCGTTCAGATAGTAAGAGTACCCTGAAATCTCTCCTGGGTGTGCAGGCACACACGGCCCTGGTGTGAAGTAACAGGGAATATTGGTAGGAGGCTGTGAAGACCACTGCAGGAACAGCCTTCAGTCACAGCCAGCGGATGGAGCAACGCATTTTTCTAGTACAGAGACAATAAGTCAAGGTATGCTTAGTGTCACCTTGGGGAAAAATAAGCCAACTTGATTGCATTTTCTAGGCTTGTATTGTATTCACAAAATTATCTCTCCTTCTCAGCCAAAGCTGTACATTCTAGGTGGATTTGGTTTTTTTTCTTACTCTGTAGTTCAATTTATCCATAAAGTATTGACTAGATGGTGTTTACTTTCCAAATTTCTTAACTAAATGGTTCATATGAAGATAAAACTAAGCCTGTTGATCTCTTGGAGATTTTTATTATGCCAGGGATTATGCAGGTACCATGCAGCAGAGATTCGGAAGCCATGCAGAAAGGCATGAACAGCAATTGCGAGTTGTAAGTGTTTCCTACAATGATAAAAGCTGTTGAGGGAGGCTCTAGGGAGCTCTTCACCAGCGCTTCAGAGCTTGAGCAGCAGGCAATATGTCTGCCAAAAGCTGCAGTGGGTTTTGAATCAGTTTGGTTTTCTTATCTGTGGTCAGAAAGCAATGTGAGAATCGAATCTGGAGACACTAGCTGCACCGATATGTCCTGGGTTGCTCTGTTCTTGTGAAACCTTACACCAGGTTGGTGAGTTTAAAGGAGCCTTCAGGCTACTGAGGGCTGGAGAAG